GCTCATGGACAGCTGTAGGTAGTCGGAGTGTTCCCTCACACCCTGAGCTGTGCACAAAGGCGTGCAAAACCCTTGTTCTCAGTGAGAAGCTGAACCGTTGGAGTGGGATGAGATGTTTTGTTTCTTTGACACTTGTCTGGAGTTAAGGTATTTGGTGTCCAAATCATGCTGCGTGTTGGAATCCCTCACCAGTTTGCGAAGGGTTCGTAGGTCTTAAGATGCTTCACAAGCCCCGTGTATCTGTGCTTTGAAATCATCAGACTTGCTGGACATACTGAAAGCATGGGGCCTAACGTATCTGTCCCGTTAAAGACTGGCAACAGCTCCACAGATGAGTGACTCTCTTCACCTCCTGAATGAGAGCAGCCCTGTTGAGAAGAACTTGGGGGTCCTGGTGGATGAGAAGCTGGATATGAGCCACCAATGTGCGCTCGCAGTGCAGAAGGCCAACCGTATCCTGGGCTGCATCAAAAGCAGCGTGGCCAGCAGGACGAGGGAGGGGATTCTGCCCCTTTGCTCTGGTGCGACACCACCTGGAGTCCTGTGTCCAGCTCTGGAGCCCTCAGCACAGGAGAGGCATGGACCTGTTGGAGCAGGTCCAGAGGAGGCCTGCTGTAGGTGACCCTGCTTCGGCAGGAGGGTTGGACTAGATGACCCACAGAGGTCCCTTCCAACCCCTACTATTCTGTGATTCTGTGAAAGATGATCCGAGGGCTGGAGCACCTCTCCTATGAGGACAGGCTGAGAGAGTTGGGGCTGTTCAGCCTGGAGAAGAGAAGGCACCAGGGAGACCTTACAGCAGCCTTCCAGTACCTGAGGGGGGCCTACAGGAAAGATGGGGACAATCTTTTTAGCAAGACCTGTTGTGATAGGACAAGGAGTAATGGCTTTAAACTAAGGGAGGCTAGATTTAGACTGAGTATATAAGGAAGAAATTTTTTACAGTGAGGGTGGTGAAACACTGGAACGGATTGCCCAGAGAGGCAGTGGAGGCCCCATGCCTGGAAACATTCAACGCCGGGTTGGATGGAGCTCTGAGCAACCTGGTCTAGTTGAAGATGTCCCTGCTCACTGCAGGGGGTTTGGGCTAGATGGCCTCTGCAGGTCCCTTCCAACCCAAAACATTCTATTATTCTATGAGAACGTCAACCCCAGTTCTGCTTCCTTCTCCATCTTTCCCAGTGTGATGTCTAGTATCAAAGACCAGTTGTCTGTCATCTGCTGCTGTACACCCATTTCCCAAGGGAAGAATTGCAGCCCATTCTTTCATCTGCACAAAATATATCCAGTGTCACCAAGGCTCTGATCCCTCCTCTGCTGCTAAGCTCCAAGTCAGAAGGTGCAGGCAGTCTCTTTGGCCAGAGTTGAGCCTGAAGCCACTGCTTTAAGGAGAAAGACGTAGCCATGCCAGCCTCTCTGCACGGGGTCCCGGCATTCCGCTGATCTCCAAGTAACCCTTTTCTGTAGCTGTTCTGCTCTGTAAGACAAGCTTTAGGTAATATTTTTTAACATCTAGTTTGAAACTCTGTAATGGGATTAGTGGAAGTGCTGTCCACTCCCAGTAGCAGCACATACCACTAGGAGCAGTGCTATAAAATAGATGGTTCAGTATAAGAAGTGCTAAGTACATTGAAACAAATAGGCACCTCTCAAGCTGTACATCTACAGTTGGTATACACTTTTAAATTTTATGTGCCTCAGTTCTCCATTTGTAAAACACTGCAATGAGCAGAGCTTTAACAGTGCCTTGTGAGGCAAATCAGTGTAATCTTACCAAGATGCCAAATGCCTGTACGTCCCTACCACTGTGGTGTCCTAAATGAGAATGATATATTGTATGGTATTTCCGATGTTCAGTTCATACGAGTTTCAATGATGCTGGCAGAACAGAGATAATGATACTTCCCTACCTTGTGGTGATTGTA